GCTAGTCTATTTCAGCATTGTGATTAGTGTGAGGAACAGGGAAGTACAGGTGATGCTGTAGTAGATGCAAGGGACGGGGGTTGGAGGTACACAGTCACATCTTCTGGAATTCTGCCCAGCCTTTGGTCTAGTTCAAGTGCCACTTACTCAAAAACCCTCCACCAAGTCCCCAGCCAAGGAACTTGCTTCCTTCTCTGAACCCTGTGCTTTTCATCCATTGCTTATACATTGCTTTATTCATCTACAAATATTTAATTAGTATGAATGCCATACCAGGAACTATTCTAGGAACTGGAGACACAGCAGTGAATAATACAGATAAGCCCCTGCTGTTCTGAAGTTGATATTCCACTGTGGGCATTGAATAGGATGCATGTAAACTAACAAGCTCAATGTGTCAGGTTGCAATGGGATCTAGGAAGAAAAATAAACATTAAGAGAGATAGGAAGTGCTGGAAAGAGCAAGCTGCTAAGGTGTTTGGACTGCCTCTGTGAGTAGTTAACTGGGAAGCAGAGCCCTGCAGGAGTTTTGAAATGTGGCTTTCTGGGACTGGAGAGGTGGCTTAGCAGTTAAGAACACCGGTTAGTTATTCTTGCGGAAGAACTGGGTTTGAATCCCAACACCCACATGGCAGTTAACAACTGTCCATAACTCCAGTCCTAGGGGATCCAACAGCCTCTTCTCACCTCCATGGGCATTGCAGGAGACAGGTGCACTTACCCACATGCAGGCAATACATGCATAAACATAAAAAAAAATAAAGAAAATTTGAAATATGGTTTCCCATGATGTGTTTGAGTGAGCCAGTGGGATATAGTCTAACTTGGGTGCAGCAACTAAGTGGGAAGGGGGGGAGCAGATAAGGCCAATGCAGTAATAGGATACAGATTATACCAGCCTGTGTGAGATGGGAGCTTCTGGGATGTTTTGAATAGAGTGGGCATGAATGGACTGCTTCAAAAGTTTCACTCTAGGGAGCTGGAGAGATGGCTTAGTGGTTAAGAGCACTGGCTGTTCTTGCAGAAGACCTGGGTTCAAGTCCCAGCACCCACATGGCAGCTAAGAACCGTATGTAACTCCAGTTCCAGGGGATCTGATGCCCTCTTCTGTCTTCTGTGGACACTGCAGGACATGGGTGCACTTATACTCATACAGACATAACACTCATACACATCAAAAATAAATAAATAAAGGCCGAGTATGGTGGTGCACACCTTTAGTCCCAGCACTCGGGAGGCAGAGGCAGGTCGATCTCTGTGAGTCTACATAGTGAGTTCCAGGCCAGCTGGGGCTACAGAGGGACCCTGTCTCAAAAAGACCAAAAAAATTAAAAAAAAAGTAAAAGTTTCACTCTCGCTGTTGCATTTTGGATGGGCTGAAGAGAGGCCAGGATGGAAGCAGTGAAGTCAATCTTCCTGGTGTCCAAGTGTGAGATGAAGGTGATGGGAAACAGACTATGGCTAGGACATGACAAGAAGCAGTCAGATTATGGATCTCTTCCAAAGTGAGAGCTTGTAGCACTGTTTGAGTGAGTGGGTGTGAGGAAAAAAAAGGAAGAAAGGATGGCTTTCATGCTTTGGCCTGAACCAAATTAGAGGGTTGAATTTTCCATTTACTGAGCTATGTGTGAATTGGCTTGGAGATGAAAATAAGGAATTTGACTTGAGGTATGTCATATTTGCAACCTGTTAGACTTTCAAATGCAGATGCAAGTCAGAGATAAGAGCTAGCAGTTCCGGGGAGAAGCTGGACTGCTGATGGCAAATAGGGATCCATTCTGTTTTCTGATCATCTGGAGCCAGTTTAGGAAACAAAGCAGTAGAGGCGATAAAATTTGCCAGCAGATTCAGCAATGTGTAAGTCACAAGTGACCTTGATGACCAGTTCTGGCGTGGTGGTATATATAAGAGTGGGTTGGAGGAGGGGGAGTAAAGATAGCGTGTGTGTGTGTGTGTGTGTGTGTGTGTGTGTGTGATAGGCTCTCGTTTCTCTCTCTCTTTCTTTCTTTCTTTCTTTCTTTCTTTCTCTTCAAGAGTAAGGTTTTTGTTTTTTTGTTTTTTTTTTTAAGACAGGGTCTCATGTGACCCAGGGTAGCCTCTCATTCTGTAGCTCAGGCTGTCCTATAATTTGCAATCCTCTTGTCTCAGCTTCCAGAGTGTATAGAATTGTTCTGTAAAAGAGAGAGCAGAGAAATGGAAACAGGAGCTAAAAGGAGATGTAGGGCCAAAGGAAGTTCTTTTTAAGGAAAGGCAGCAAGCCTACAGGCTCGTATGCTGACAGAAATAATATAATGAAGGAGAAATTTTTGATGATGCAGGAACAGGCAGGAATAATTTCTGGAGAGATGGGCTTGAGGAGATGGGATGTGGTAGGTGAAAAGTTGTAGGAGTGTGGTTTTTGACAGCAGGAGAGCAGAGCGTGTATGATGCCAGGTGTGCCACCCTTGGGTGGTACATGTCTCATCTCTTCTACTGTGTAGCAAGTTCCCTGCAAGCAGAACTCTGACTTACATGCTTGTATATGTTTTGGGAATTAAAGTTAGGGGTCTAATTAATTAATTTTTATGTGTATGAGTGTTTTGCCCTCATATATGTAAGTGCACTATGTGTGCCTATTGCCTGAAGAGGCCAGAAGAGGACTTTGGATCTCCTGGAATGGGAAGGTTCCCTGAAACTTAGGAAAGGTTGTTAGCTACCATTTGGGTGCTGGGAACCGAATCTGGTCCTCTGCAAGAGCAGCCTGTGCTCTTAACTGCTGAGCCACCTCTCCAGTTCCCGGAATCTAATTTCTAATAGGCAGTGCTGATCAGTTGGTATCAGCCTAGAAAATGAAGCGGAATTCCTTGGTAAGACCAGAGCTTCTTAGGGAACATAGCTGTGCTGAGACAAGGATTAGAACCAGGGCTTTTGTTTGTTTTGAGAACAGGTCTCCCTGGCCTCAGCTGGCTTAGAACTTGCTTTGTAGACCAGGCTGATCCCAATCTCACAGAGATCCACCTGTGTCTGCCTCCCAAGTACTAGGATCAAAGGTGTGTGCCATCATGACCGGCTCCCCGCTACACCCTCTCCCCCCCCCCCCCCCCCCCTCCCCTGGTGTGGAAATTCACTGTGTAGTCCAGATTGATCTCAGATTGGCAGCAATCCTCCTACCTCAGCCTCCCTTGTGCTGGGATTGTAGGAATGATCATCGTATCAGGCTTGGAACTAGGATTTGGGAGTATGTTGGAACTCTCTCTGCTTCCCAATTTATTTTCCTCTCTCACTGTAGACAAGCATCATCTATTTCTTGGTCTGTGCTTCACAACATAGCTGTCTTAGTTATCCCTTCAAAATTATATTTTTCCAGGGGCAGAGGAAATGACTCAGTCAGTAAAGGGCTTGCTGCGCAAGCACATGTTTGATTCCTAGCTCCCAAGTAAAAATCTGTATGCAGCGGAACATACCTGCAATCCCAGCATAAGGGAAGCAGTAGAGACAGAAGGATTCCAGGGGAGCTCCAGCTTCTGTGAAAGAACCTGCCTCAAAAAATAAGGTGTAGAGTGACTGAGGAAGATACCTAATGTCAACCTCTGGCCTTCACATTGCTTTTATACCCACATATGTGTGCATACATGTACACATACATGAAATGTATCTATGCAAACACTATACTCACAAAATTAAAAGTAAAAGTTTTGCCAAGCATGGTGGCATATGCCTTTAATCCCAGCATTTGGGGAGACAGAGGCAGGCGGATTGCTGAGAGTTCAAGGCCAGCCTGGTCTACATAGTGAGTCTCGGGCCAGCTGGAGCTACAGGGAGACCCTATCTCAAAAAGACCAAAAATAAATAAATAAATAAAAACACTATACTCACAAAATTAAAAGTAAAAGTTTTGCCAAGCATGGTGGCATATGCCTTTAATCCCAGCATTTGGGGAGACAGAGGCAGGCGGATTGCTGAGAGTTCAAGGCCAGCCTGGTCTACATAGTGAGTCTCGGGCCAGCTGGAGCTACAGGGAGACCCTATCTCAAAAAGACCAAAAATAAATAAATAAATAAATAAATAAATAAATAAATAAAAATTTTATGTCGAGGGACTGGAAAGATGGCTCAGTGGTTAAGAGCACATACCTCTCTTTCAAGGACCTGAGTTCAGTTCCCAGCACCCATGTGAGGTGCCTATAACTCCATCTCCAGAGAATTCAGTACCTCTTCTGCCCCCCCCCCACTGCCCAGCACCCGTATTCATGTGGTAGACACTTAAATACACACATGAAAAAATAAATGTTTAAAAAATTATATTTCAAGATGCAATGGTAAACTGTCTCTTTCTGAATCCTAGGTCAAGTGATTGGATTATATTAGCTGCTTTGGTGTATATTGATGGGCCAATCAGCTGTGTTCAGGGAGGCAAGAAGCATGTGACTAATAGTTAGGCACTCTCCCTCATGGATAGACTAAGAGTCCCCGAAGAAGAGACTGGTAGATTCCTTAGATAGCCTCTTTATAGAGACTGGGTGGATAGGTAGATGTGGATAGGTGGATAGATGGATCAAAACTAAGTGAATGAATGGATGTATGTTTTAGCTGTGCTGTAACTTAAAAACTTGGAATGAAAGGAGGAGTCTTAGTAGTGATGATAGTGGTAGGGTTTTGGGGAGGAAACCTCTGAGGATAGAGTTCTTTCTATTCTTGAGGATTTAGAAGGGACACTATAGAAAGGAAGCTTGTTACTACCAGTTAATAATTGCTGGAAATTCCTTACTTCCCTTCCTATTAGGAAGCTAGGAAGTTTCTTTCCCCTAGTTTCCTTCCAGCTAGAAGGGGAAATGTTTTCATCTTTGACATGATTCTACTTTCAGAAAGTAAGTTGAGCAACAGAGACTTGTTTCCAGCAGACCTGGGCACGTGGTCCTGTTCAGTCTCTTTGGCCAGTGTGGGAAAGCCCTGGTGTTCATGTCTCCTCTCACTGTTTTGGAACTCACCTTACTGTTATTCAATCTCTTGCTTCCTTGTCAGGATACCCGGAGCCAGAGGTGACCTGGTACAAGGATGACATAGAACTGGACCGTTACTGTGGTCTGCCAAAATATGAGATCACTCATCGGGGCAACCGGCACACGCTGCAGTTGTACAGGTGAGGAAGAGGGGCCTGCTTGGCTCTACCTTCCTGAGGGACCTATGCTGGATCCTGCTATCAGACATGGAGTCAGCTGGATAGAGATGCCCAGGCACTCTCTGGAGTTAGAGGGCAGGGTTCTGCTGCTGAGCTGACACCTGGTTAACTGTGCTGTCTGCCAGTGTCTAGGATCTCCTAAGGCCAGGGTGGGAGTGCTTCTGACAGCCATGAGTGCGTGCAACCAGAGGAGGTCCTGACCCTTAGAAACATTTTCCATGAGGTCAGCAGCCAGAAAAAGCAACAGTGTCATCATTACTTCACTAGGGGCAGTGTTGGTCACCTGCTTCTGAAGGGAGCTCTTCTGAGCTCCAAGTCTAATTCCTCCTGGGACAGCATGACCTTGGTCAGCTGCCACCCCCTTGTGGCCTCAGTTTCCTCTACTGCAACTGAGGAAATTTAGTGGTGTCTAAGATAGGGCATGGCCCTCAGGGCAGGACTCAGATGTTAAGAAGAACTTGGTCAATGCTGGAAGGCTCTGGCTGTGGGGAAGAGAGGCTCTTACCTCCTATGAAGGAGAGAGAGTACCTCATGCTCCTACCTCTAGGTGTCAAGAAGAAGATGCTGCCATCTATCAGGCCTCTGCCCGGAACACTAAGGGCATTGTGTCCTGCTCAGGGGTCCTGGAAGTGGGCACAATGACTGAGTATAAGATCCATCAGCGCTGGTTTGCGAAGTTGAAGTGCAAGGCTGCAGCCAAGATGCGGGAAATTGAGCAGAGCTGGAAGCATGGGAAGGAGGGCACAGGAGAGGCTGATACTCTGCGCAAGATCAGCCCTGATCGCTTCCAACGAAAACGCCGACTAAGTGGGGCCGAGGTGGCAGTACCCTCAGCCCCAGCCAGAGAGACAGAAGAAGGGTCCTCAGCAGGTTGGCAAGAAGGAGAGACTGAGCCAGAGCAGCACCCTGGTTTGGGCCTGATCAACAGTTTTGGTCCCGGAGAGGCACCCACCAATGGGGAGCCTGCCCCCGAGAATGGAGAGGATGGAGAGCATGGCTTGCTGATGTACATCTGTGAGGCCATGGAGCTAGGACCTCAGAGCACTCCTCCAAAGGAGTCTGGGGCTAAGAAAAAAAGGAAAGATGAGGCATTTAAGCAGAGTGTGTTGAAGCCAGAGTTAGAAAAGGCAGACCAAAGTGAGTGTGCTTCAGAAAATGGTGTCCCCAGTTCAGACAAGCCCGATTCCAGTGGAACACAGAAGCCCATGGACATGCAATCAGTTCAGACTCAGTCCAGAGGCAAGATAGCACGGGGGGCTGGGTCTTGTGGAATAGAAAGCACTAGGAAGCCAGCCTCTGTTGTGGGCATTCAAGACAAAGCCCAGGATGCCCCAACCCCAACTGCAACCCCAGCTCTAGTTCCAGCCCCAGCCCCTGCCCCTGCCTCAGGTCTTGGCTCAGACCAGGTGTATTTCTCCCTGAAGGACATGTACATGGAAAGTACCCTGGCAGGCAGGCCCCAGAAGGATGAGCCTCCACCCCCAAGAACCAGGGAACCTGGAGAGAGTCCCTCAGGGAAGGTATCCATCAAGGCTATAGGTGAGAGGGTGCCTATAGCTTCTGGCCAGCCCACACTCTCCATAGTCCCCCAGCCCACTAAGCCTTTCAACAGGAAGAGATTTGCTCCTCCAAAGCCCAAAGGGGAACCCACCACGATCTCTTCCTCAAGTCAGGCTCCAAAACCTGTGACCCAGAGCTTGGGGAAGGCCCCACCTCAGACCTCTACCCAGGTGCCAACACCCCCTGCCCGCCGGAGACACAGCACCCGAGAGAGCCCCTTGCAGGGAGGAACAGGCCATAAGACTCCAGGGGAGGTAAGTGTGGGCATTGGATGCTTAGAGGCTGCTCTGGGAAGCTGACCTCATGGAAACTCTTGCTATAACAGCTTGGCAGCCAGTGAGTGGTGGGCTATTTATAGAAGGGGGTGGGGAGGGAATGGAGTGCCAGCCAGGAGCAAGGGACCACAGGCATGGCTCTTGCTTGGCTATACTCTAGATAGAAGCATGCAGGCAGCACAGCCTGACTGTGCCTCCTCAGAAGTGAGGAAGTTCTTGGCCAAGGGGATTATGCACCTGAGGAAAGGGGAGGAAGGTACTATTCTCTGAGGGAGGAAGGGACACTAGTAGAAAGTTCTGTGTAGCCAGCTAAGCTGAAGCTACTGTCCTTTGGCGGGGAGATGAGAGTGTACTGGAGTGTGTAGCAGTACACAATGAGGCTCACTAGAAGAATTTTTTTTTTTTTTGTCTTTTTGAGACAGGGTCTCCCTGTTGTCCCAGTACTGTGTGTTGTAATTCAAGCACCCAAGAGGATGAGTTAGGAAGATCGTGAGTTCAAAGCTAACCTGAGCTATATTGCAAGACTATGTCTCAAAACAAACAACCCCTCCTCAACACTGAATGTCTAGGAAGTGCTGAATTACTCTGGGTTTATTTAAGGTTTTGGAGTCAGACATGCCTATGTGCATATGTGCAAGTAATAAAGTCAAAATAATAATTCATACCTACTCCATAGGGTTGTTGCAAGAATTATGTTTAGCACAGGCCTGGTGTACATAAACTAAGTGTGGTAGGGTAAAATATTACTGTGGTGGGAGGCAGCTGTTTTACATGGGAATAGGAGTCCCTCCTTTCTGGGGAGCAGGCAGCCAAGAGGAATAGATGTTTTTGTGTTGGGGAGGACAGGAGTGCCCACCTGCCAAAAGCAAAGGCAGAGAGCTTAAGGAATAGGGTTTAGAATAAGAGGTAGCCAGGGTTTCATGCTTCAGAGGTGGAGAGAGAAAAGGATTGCCTTGGCATTAGAAAGCCTGTGTTTGGCAACAGGGCAGAAGGAAGGAAAACAGTAGTATTCTTCAGAGTTTCTGGAGTGGGGGTTGGGGTAGATAGAATAGATGGGGCATATTTATACTACAGAGTTACTGATATCGTAAATAACAGTGTCACTGGGCTTGTTTTTTTTTTTTTTTTTTCTAAATCTAAGTGGAAACAGCCTCTGATCTGAGCTGGAACTAAGTTGAGATGGTTTTTCAGGGTGGCGGGAGCAGGAGTCCTGGCTCCTGTGAACTAAGGCTTTCTGTAGAAAGGCAGTGTTTCACAGGTGTGTGCAGGCGTGTGGGCAGAGGACAGATGAGTTTTTTTTTTTTTGAACAATGAAGGGAAACACATAAAGGACAAACTGATTCAGCTAGTTTGGGACAAGGTGAGGAGGAGGGTGCCTGGTGGGGAACACTGATGGACTTTCCCAGGGAGCACTCAAGAGGGGAGAAGGGAGAACCCGGTTCAAAGGTGACAAAGCTGGCACTTTATTTCAGTGGGTGCTGAGGTTAGACTGTGCAAACAGTAGATTGGAGGGCTTTGGAGCTGGATAAACCTTAAGGACTTCACACCAGCCTCTAGATCTGCTCATTGTTTTTGTCTACATTTTGTGTGGTCTCTGGTGACATCAGCCACTGGTGTGGTAAGTTCTTAGTTGCTCAGGGAAAGCTTGGTGAGGTTGCTCCATGTGCCCAACATCCCACAGACTGGATAGCAGGGCCTTTCTAGAGAGATGGCCCTTGTAGGCCTGTAGCGAGCTCATTTAGGAAATGACCAGGCTGGTTGCCAAGTCTGTGTATAGATCTGGCTTCTCTGCCTACAGGGGTGAGAACCCCACATCAGGGTGGGTATATCCTCCTGGCAGGGCCAGGGCAGGAAGTGTCACCCCACTCCTCCCTAGGGTTGGGAGGGTACAGGCAGCTCAGGTACCTTAGAGGTTGTCTGTACTACTCCTGCTCCTGCCAAAACCTTGTCTGGTTGCATATTTTTGGTAAACTTAAAACCTGTGAAAAATATATTTTAACACATATGTATATTTTAAGCTGTTGTTTTTCAGCAGAAGAATTTTTCCATATTAGATATTTTGAAAATATTTTATCATAAGAGAAATATGTGGTCATACTAGATAATATGGGGAAAACTAAAATTTAAAGGAAAAGGTAAACATTTTTCCATGTTCCACCATCCAGAGATGACCATTATCTACAAAACACAGGAGGACATCATGGTGCAACTAGTCTTTCTTATGTATATATGTCTTTTACTATTTATCTACTTATTTTTGTGTGTGTATATGTCTGTATACATGTGTATGTGTTCTCATGTATGTGTATACTTCTGGAGGTCAGAGGTTAAAATCCAGTGTCTTTCTCTATCACTTCTCTACCTTATTTTATTTTTCCACTTTTTTTTAAGACAAGGTCTCACTGTGTATCTCTGACTGACCTAGAACTTGCTATATAGACCAGGTTGGCCTCGAACTAACAGAGATCTGCCTCCCTCTGCCTCTGCCTCTGCCTCTGCCTCTGCCTCTTGAGGGCTGGAACTAAAGGTGTGTGCTACCACTATACCCAGCTTCCTGATTCAGTTTTGTTTTTGTTTTTGGTCTTTTTGAGACTGGGTCTCCTGGTAGCCCCAGCTGGCCTGGAACTCACTATGTAGACCAGGCTGGCCTTGAACTCACAGAGATCAACCTGCCTCTACCTCCTGAGTGCTGGAATTAAAGGCATGCAACACCATGCCTGGCCCTGATTCAATTTTATACCCTACTTTTTTGTCTAACTTCTCATTATTTCATGAGCATTTCCCCATGGTTTTTAAATCTCCTTTATGTTTATAACTTTAATGCCATAGCTTGAGTATTTTAACCATTCCTTCCATGTGTCTAGACCTTCACAGGGGACAGCATAGGTATGGGAGAGCTCAGCTGATGCTTTGAGACCTGAGCCTGTCGCTCTTTTTTTTTTTTTTTTTCTTAAAAATTTTATTTAGGCAGAGTGTGGTGGCACATGCCTCTAATCCCAGCACTTGGGAAGTAGAGGCAGGTGGATCTCTGAAATCGAGGCCACCCTGGTCTACTTGGTGAGTTCCAGGCCAGCTGGGGGACCCTGTCTCAAAAAGACCAAAAAAGAAAAAAAGGAAATAAAATAACCACTGAATTTTTTCTCCAGCCCCCAGAGTGTGTCTCTTGATAAACCCTGTAGGTCCTGAAAAATGGTCATCCCAAGGGTTTTGGCATCCAAGGAGTACATGAATGCACTGAGATGTGATGAGGGAGGGAATTATCTACTGAATCAAGGGACCTGGATTCACACCAACAATAAGTTCAAAGAGGATGTGGTGAATGATAACTGCTGTGGGCTTTGAGAGAGGGAGAGTGGTGTGGCTGCCAGGAGTCCCCAGGGAAGACATCTGGGAAGAGGTCAGACGTGTTGGCAGTATGGATAATATTTATGACTAGAAATAGCATATTTAAAAAAATACTGAATAGAATTGTTTAAAATATGAAAACATACCAATAATATCCTCAGATAGAAAGAAACTAGATGAAATGGAGGAAGAAATACATTCTAGGAAGAATAAACAGAATGAAGCCAAGATGAGGTGGGGGCCAGGATAGGCCTACTCAGAATTTGTGGGGTACAGGATACTTCTCAATTTTTTATTCCCTTATTCTTATGTTCTGCCTTTTGTTCTCTCGTTTTCTTTCTTTCTCCTTCTCCCCTGCCCCACCTCTAATTATAGCATCAAAGTTGGGATGATACAGAAAGATGGAAAGAACCAACATTTATTGAATATTAGCTTTCATTACTATTGTGTTAAATAATTCAGACCAATTTCACTACTGAGGACAATTAGAGAACTCGGCAAAAGAGAAAAAAAAATCTTTTGAAAGCACTGGAGAGTTAACACAGTGGAAAATTACTGGGCCAGGATATAGGAGATGGACATCAAGAATAGTGAGCCCAGGGGCTTGGGAGATGTCTCAGTGAGTAAAGCACTTGTTGTCCAAGTGTGAGGACTGGAGTTTGATCCCTAGCAGTCACATAAGTGCTGTACAGGCATAGAGGCCTGCCTGAAATCCCAGTACTTCAGAGGCAGACATAGGGGATCTCCAGAGCAAGCTGGCTAGCTAGACTACCTGTATCAAGAGCTCTACTTCAAATGAGAGACCCTACCTCAATTTATAAAGCGGAGAGCAATCTGTAAGCAGTTAACAAAGACACCTGACATCAACCTCAGGTCTCCATATGCATGTGCACACGTGTGTGCTGCCCCACGTGTGCATCCCCATACAGGCAAATAGGCACGCATACTCACCACACACAGGCAGAAAAAGAAGAAGGAGGGGGAAGAGGAAGAAAAGGAGGGAAGGAAGGAAGGAAGGAAGGAAGGAAGGAAGGAAGGAAGGAAAGAAGGAAAGAAGGAAGGAAGAAAAGCAAGCCCAGCTTTTTTCCTGGGGAATTTGCCATTCTAGAAGAAGGGAATGAGAGATTGAGCTATATTTTGATCATTCTTTTTCTTTTTAAACTTTATCTTAACCGGGTATGGTGGCACCCACCTTTAATTCCAGCACTCAGGGTGCTGAGGCAGATGAATCCCTGTTGAGATCAAGGCTAGCCTGGTCTATATAGTAAGTTCAAGGCCAGCTGGGCTATAGGCTAAACCCTGTCTCAAAAAAAAAGTATTTATTTTGTGTGTGTGTGTACAGGCATGTGGAGGTAAGAGGATAGCTTGTGGGAGTCAGTTTTCTCTTTTCCAGCATGCGGGTTCCAGGGATTGAACTCAGGTTGTTGAGCTTGGTGGCAAGTGTCCACTGAGCTATCTCACCAGCCTGAATAGTGTTTTAGGTAGTGTTATAGGTAGGCAAATATTAGAAGCTATGGTCTTAAGAGTAGGAACCTTGAAAAATCCCTTGGGCTTTGTGTTAGGACCTTAATGAGGGAATTAGAAGTAAGTTATTCTCACCGGTATGGAGGTATTGCTGGGTTCTGAGTCTTTTG